AAATAAATAAATACATTAAAAAAAACCCTTTACTTAAAGTACTAAAACAATAATCTAATGAAGTATTGCCTGTCTTCTTCTCTTTCTCTACCCTCTCCTCCCTCTTCCCTTTCTGCTACTTAACCTTTCCTTGCTTGACTCAAGGTTGTCACTATACCAATCCAACACTGTTTATTCTCTTAGTAATAATTCCAATCACATTTTTCAGTTCCCAGTCTCCCTCCTCCTAGTTAGGCTATCTGCTGTCACTTTCTTTGTGCCTATATTATGATTCTAACAGCATCTTCTATTTCCTCTTATTTTGCTATCTCTCAGTTGCAGTGTGCTAACAAAACCAAATAACGTTTATAGTCAGATGTAGTGGCACACATTTATAACCCCAGCTACTTGCGAGACTGAACATGAAAATTAAAATCAGCAGGAGGATTTGAGACTAGCTTGAACAGCTTAGCAAGACTCAATCACCAAGCAATTCATAAAAAGGGCTGAGGCTATCACTCAGTGGTTGTATGCCCAGGTTTGACTCATAAGAATAGAAAGAATATATGTTTTGTTAATTCAGACTTAATGACAGTTCTGTCCTGCCTTAGCTTCCCAAGGCACTAAGATTATAGGTAGGGTACCATCATGCCCAGTTTTGTTGTTGTTGTTGTCTAAAGTAATGGATTTATTTAATAAGTATTGAACTGTGCATGCATTTTTAATTGTATTTTATTTCTAATCCCTACATCAGTCTTCCAGACAGTGTTTTAAAAACCTAAATGCTATTTTTCATTCATTATACTCTCTTCTAATTTTCATAACCATGATAGAAATATTTTGGAAGAGTTTGAACTCCAATAATGCTATTTACAGTGTAACCAGAAAATGTTTCATGTATCCTCTTCAGAGCTTCAACTACCCTGCTGTAAAATATCAGAACCTAAATGCTAAACAAACACAAACAGCACTACTCTTTCTTCTAATGTTATTTCTTCCCTTTAAGAACCATCATTTGGGGGGGCCAGGGAGATGGCTTAGTGGAATAAGCCCTTCTCTGGCAAGTGCAAGGGCCTGAGTTCAATCCCCGGTTCCGCCACAAAAAAACAACAACAAAAAAAAAAAAAACAAGCACAAGGATCCAAATTCAATTCCTGGCACCATATGCCATGTTAGCCATGGAAACTGGATGTGATGGTGCATGCCTGTAATCCCAGCCCTGGAAAGGCCGAGTCAGAGCTACAAGTGAGACCCTGTACCAAATAAATAAATAAGATTAAGAACCATCATTCTCATCAATCCTCTCTCCCGACACAACCTATGCTGTTTTGCATCTGCTACTGATCTTATGGCATCTGAATTTTAGAAACATTAGTTATTACTAATTATTATTAGTTATTACTAGTTTCTGCTAGTATTATACAATTCTAGCCAGATCTAACACAAAGAATATGGGCTTTCAAATCTAATATTCCCAATGCAGAATCCAAATGAATAATCTGATCGACAAATTGCATGGTACTTAACCTTGCTAAAAATTTTCTTAATCATAATATGGGGAGGAGGAAGTAATAGGATACAACATTATTATGATCATGTGTATGAAGTATTTAGCTCAGTACTTAGAAGTGTTAAATGTACTTCTCTGTTTCTTCTAACAGTGATAAATTATCAGCATTACTGTAAATATCAAATGCCAGGCT